ATACACAAATATGTATAGTAACTAGTTTCATTTATTATGAATTTATGGTCATGTCTTTTTTAATTGGTTTATGAATGATGATTAACATTCTAACTAGATTTGTGGTTGGATATTTTGTTAACTAATTTAAAATGTTGTCTTATACTTTTATTTTGAGTAAATACTATTTTATGGTTACATTAATACGTAATTAATTTTTTTTTTTGTTGGTAATACGTAATTAATTTAAGAATTTATAACTTACTAGAAACTTTGCTTGAACAAAAAAGGAACCGAGGACTCGGACTGAACCGGCCCGTTTCAAACGAGGTGGGTAAGGTTCGGTTCCTATTTCGAAATTTGTTATACCCGGACCGAACCTACCCGCTAAATGGAACCGACGGATCTTGAAAATTTAACGATTACCTGAACCGGCCCGGACCGTGCCCACGCCTAGTGTGGACCATTGATCTATTTCCTTCCTTCCTTCCTTCCTTCTCTCTCTTTCTTTCTCTCTTCCTTCCTTCCCTCCCTCCCTCCTTCCTTCCTTCCTATACGTGAATAGAGTGCGTCAGTGCGTGTAGAATCTAAAATCTAGAATGTATTATTGATTTTTAGTTCCAATGGTTTAATTTTTACGCGGCTTGAAATGCTTGAAATATGAGATGACCGAAAAGAAGTGTGAAATCTAGATAATGGAGAATCGAGTGCGGCGAAATGAACAGAGTGCGTGAAGAATCTAGAATGTATTATTGATTTTTAGTTGTAATAGTTTAATTTTTATGCGGCCCTTTAAAAATTTACCTTGACCATATTTTACTTTCCAGAGTGTTAAGACATTTTGATCAAATTAAAATTTTTAATTCATTTTAAAACATTTAAAGAAATGTTTTAAAACTAAGCTAAATAGTAAGTTAGGGGAGAAAAATCAAATGCCAAAAAGAAAGTGTATGTTTTAAAACGGTTCAGGGCGGGTCTTGAAAAACTTAGAAACCGAATGGGTCTTAAAATTTGAAAAAACGGGTACCCGAACCGAACCGTTTTAAAATATTATTTTAATAATCTCTATTATAGTTAATACTAGTACTCCCTCCGTCCCCCAATTAAATTCCTACTTTTCTTTTTGGGTAGTCCCTAAATTAAGTTCACACTTCAATACTTTCCTTATTTGGCAACTTATCTACATCAAAATAGTGCAAAACAGTGCCAAACAGTGTTTAAACAGTACAAAACAGTGCACTCCACAATAAATTCAAATTTAGTTTCTTAATATATGTGTATTCAAACCACGAACTTAATTGGGGGACGGAAGGAGTATAATATAATATACCAACAACACACGAAAGCTCTTCACACGAACCTACGGATCTTGAAAATTTAACGATTACCTGAACCGGCCCGGACCGTGCCCACCCCTAGTGTGGACCATTGATCTGTTTTATTTCTTTCTTTCTTTCTTTCTTTCTTTCTTTCTTTCTTTCTTTCTTTCTTTCTTTCTTTCTTTCTTTCTTTCTTTCTTTCTTTCTTTCTTTCTTTCTTTCTTTCTTTCTTTCTTTCTTTCTTTCTTTCTTTCTTTCTTTCTTTCTTTCTTTCTTTCTTTCTTTCTTTCTTGCTTCCTTCCTTCCTTCCTTCCTTCCTTCCTTCCTTCCTTCCTTCCTTTCTTTCGTTCCTTCCTTCCTTCCTTTTATCTTTTATTGCCTTTATCATTTATCATTCTGTGTTCTTATGTTCATCTTTTATTTTCATCTTTTTTATCATATCTTTTTTTATCATCTTTCCTCTCTTCTTTGCTCTGATGTCATGGATCGGTTCATGTTAACCGACCCAAATGCTTTTGAGGTTAAGGCTTGGATGTTGTTCTTGTTGCTGAATTGTGTAATAATAAGAAAAATTAAGGTTAGAGTTACTTTTGTGTTCGTATTGGCTAAAGTTACTAACCTACTGTAGAGGATCATTTTGACTATTTTTCATATAATTTTTTCTTTATTTTATTAATAAAATATATATTAAATATACTCCGTAATGTTGTTATAAATCAGTAGAATCAGTCAATCCAACCACTTCAGTCAGAACATCATAAATTCCATTAAAATCAGCCAAAACAGCCGATTTTGGTATTATCAAACGGGCTCCACATCTTCAACTCATGTAGCTTGGGTAGGGAATATAAGATGAGACTATCTCTCTAAATGGGGCTCTATTGAGAGGCAATATAGATATTCAAGAATATTTATTTATTTATTTATTTATTTATTTATTTATTTATTTATTTATTTATTTATTTATTTATTTATTTATTTATTTATTTATTTATTTATTTATTTATTTATTTATTTATTTATTTATTTATTTATTTATTTATTTATTTATTTATTTATTTATTTATTTATTTATTTATTTATTTATTTATTTATTTATTTATTTATTTATTTATTTATTTATTTATTTATTTATTTATTTATTTATTTATTTATTTATTTATTTATTTATTTATTTATTTATTTATTTATTTATTTATTTATTTATTTATTTATTTATTTATTTATTTATTTATTTATTTATTTATTTATTTATTTATTTATTTATTTATTTATTTATTTATTTATTTATTTATTTATTTATTTATTTATTTATTTATTTATTTATTTATTTATTTATTTATTTATTTATTTATTTATTTATTTATTTATTTATTTATTTATTTATTTATTTATTTATTTATTTATTTATTTATTTATTTATTTATTTATTTATTTATTTATTTATTCATTTATTCATTTATTCATTTATTTATTTATTTATTCATTTTTTTATTTATTTATTTATTTATTTATTTATTTATTTATTTATTTATTTATTTATTTATTTATTTATTTATTTATTTATTTATTTATTTATTTATTTATTTATTTATTTATTTATTTATTTATTTATTTATTTATTTATTTATTTATTTATTTATTTATTTATTTATTTATTTATTTATTTATTTATTTATTTATTTATTTATTTATTTATTTATTTTTTTTATGTTAGTGTTTAATTGATATTAGAGTAGTAACTAATTTGGTGGATACTAGGGATGTAAAAAAAAAACCGACCCGCAATGACCCGCCCTGGCCCGAGACATTTGGGGTGGGTCTTCCCCGCCCCGTCTTGCAAATGGGGCGGGTCCGCCCCGCCCCGCCTATACAATGGGGCGGGTCCGGGTATTAGAATTGACCCGTGCCGCCCCGACCCGCCCCGACCCGCTCAATATATAAGTATACATACTTTTTCTTGAATTATACTACAAATATACTTCAACATACATATGTGTGTATACAATAAATCATAAATTCTTTGATCTTATAATATATGAATATATATTAGAATGAGATGCACGACGGATTATCAATGTCTTCTTTATATAAATTTTAATACATATATTCAATTATTAATATAACTAATTAGATTAACTATTCAAGTTTGAGTAATTTTTCCTTAATTTTTGAAATTGTTAGCATATCATGAATTTGATTTAATATATTCATTTTTAATTATTATTTAGAGAAAAACATTATGTAGATTCAATTGGTAACAACTTTTCACAAATAAAAATACATACTAGCTAATTAGGTCCGCCCCGCCCCGCATGGGGCGAGTCATGGGTCAACAAGTTTGGACCCGTGCAGGTCACGGGACGGGTCCGGGTCTTGCAATACCTGCCCGACCCATTGCCATGCCTACTGGATACATATAAAACCGCCCTTGAAATGGTTGAAATATGGGATGATTGAAAATACAAGGCTGAAGTATGAAATCTAGGTAATGGAGAATTAAGTGTGGCGACGTGATACTATACGTGAATAGAGTGCGTCAGTGCGTGTAGAATCTAAAATCTAGAATGTATTATTGATTTTTAGTTGCAATGGTTTAATTTTTATGCGGCCCTTTAAAAATTTACCTTGACCATATTTTACTTTCTAGAGTGTTAAGACAATTTGATCAAATTAAAAAATTCAATTTTAATGCTTTTTCTCATCACTACTTAAATATACGGAGTATTAATGATCAAATTTGTTACTCCTCCGTATTTAAAAGTTTTCTACACTTTCTTTTTAGGATGTATTTAAAAATTCCCTACACTTTCCCTTTTAAGTAAGTTTTTCCTTTATCCTTAATTTTTATCCTCTCTTTCCTACTTTTTCATCTGCTCTCCTACTTTTTATATACTATTCAAAACCCCTACTATTCTACCTTAAATCTTGTGCCATAATCAAACATAGCGATCTTTTAAATATGGAGGGAGTATTAAACACAAAATTTAAAGAAATGTTTTAAAACTAAGCTAAATAGTAAGTTAGGGGAGAAAAATCAAATGCCAAAAAGAAAGTGTCTGTATAACCTAATAACCCCCACAAGTTCACAACATACATACATGTCAAAGACTCCATATATATATATATATATATATATATATATATATATATATATATATATATATATATATATATATATAGAGGAATGTTCATGTCAGGCCGGCCTGACGGGCTGCTCCGTCCGGCCGAGCCCGTTTGGGCACCTTCCCGGTGGAATTTTTTGATGAAATTTTTTGAGCATGTTCCTCATCAAGTCTAGTTTGTCCATACCAAATTTCAGCTCAAAATTCGATCGGGTAGAGATTCAAATCATTTTTTGAAGTTGACTGCAGTTTTATATGTATATTTTGACGCAGTCAACTTCAGAAAATGATTTGAATGCCTTCCTGATCGAATTTTGAGCTGAAATTTGGTATGGACAAACTAGACTTGATGGGGAACATGCTCAAAAAATTTCATCAAAAAATTCCACCGGGGAAGGTGCCCAAATGGGCTCGGCCGGACGGAGCATCCCGTCAGGCCGGCCTGATGAGAAGAGCACTCTATATATATATATATATATATATATATATATATATATATATATATATATATATATATATATATATATATATATATATATATATATATATATATATTTATCTATTCAGATCAGGACATCAGGTAGCTATTTGATCGACCCTTTTCCATGGCGGTCTCTTTGTTTATTAACCATTTTCTCATTTTCTTCTTCCTCTTCTTCATCCTTGACAATAGTTTGAGGAGTAGCTTTTTCTTCAACAATAATGTGGTGTGGTCAAGTAACGCAAAAAACTCGCCGCCACTGCCACAAGCAATTGGAGTAATGAATGGGCATGAGAAGGACGACGATGTCGTCTGGGTAAGTAAATTTTATTACCAGCGGAAGCAGCTGCTGGAGGAGAAATTGCCGGCAAGCATTGACAGGGGACGCTCACCCTCACCCCCACCACCACCCAAGCCATCACCTGGCAGCCACGAGCCGAGACGCCCGGCGGCGGCTCCGATGGCCGATAAGATATCTGAAGATGAGGGTAAAACTCTTCAGGCGGAGGAGCTGACTACCAATCCATAAGTATTGGAGTACCGTACATAGCTTCGATCGATCACTCAATTAATGAGGAGAAGATCGAATTGTGTTTAATTCGTTTTGTTCGTGAAATATTCTACTTAAACATGTTTTATTTGGACAGTAATTTTCAGGAATCATCTCGTTTGATATATTTTAATCTCATTTATTTGATCTGATTTGGTCTGTACAAGTTGGATCTAACTCAAAAATATGCAGGTTGACCTTTTAGGAGTATTTGATCATATTTAATACTTTCTTTTAGGGTTGTCCCAAAATGAGTGTCTACTTTCTTTTTTTAGAAAGAAATATGTGGTCTACATCATTTCTCTTTATAATACTTAAACCCCAACCACCAGGGGCGGAGCCAGGATTCGACCGAGAGGGGGGCTGGGGTAAAATAAAAAATGCAGTAGTAAACATATTACGTATAAAAGTGCTATAATGTTAAATAATGTATTATTATTCATTTAAAACATTCAAAATTACATGATTAAATGTCGCTCCCAGGGGCGGATCTAGGCTAAGGCCAAGGAGGGCCTAGGCCCACACTCAAAAAAATAAAAATTACTAGTATATATATTATGTACGAAGTATTAATTTATATATAGTGATTCAGTTAATAGGGGATAATACTAGCTAAAGTCAAATATTTAACATTTGTTACGTTGGCCTGATGGAAGTGAACTGAGCGTTTGGTGCAGCATAAGGTCTGGAGTTCGAACCCCAGGTACTTAATTTTTTAGTGCAACACGTACTGATTTTTTTATTAGTATTTTAAAATTTTCAATTTTCTTTCCAATATCTCTTTATTCCACATACATTTGATCTTCATCAATTTTATAAATTGGACTTTTGAATATTAATCTGAAATATTAATCAGGTCAATTCATTGGGTTTTTGAATATTGGCCTGAAAATTGGGTTTGGTGCAGCATAAGGTCTGGAGTTCGAACCCCAGGTACTTAATTTTTTAGTGCAACACGTACTGATTTTTTTATTAGTATTTTAAAATTTTCAATTTTCTTTCCAATATCTCTTTATTCCACATACATTTGATCTTCATCAATTTTATAAAGAAATAATTACATAAATATGACCAAAATAAAGATGGTTTACAAAAATATGATTTATTGGACTAAAATAAGTCATATTTTAGTAAATAAGTTTTATTTTAGTAATATTCTCGTAAAAAACCCTTTTATAAATTGGACTTTTGAATATTAATCTGAAATATTAATCAGGTCAATTCATTGGGTTTTTGAATATTGGCCTGAAAAATTAATTAGTTCAATTCATTGTGCTTTAGAGTATTGGTTTGAGATTAGTTTAATTCATCTGACATTTGAATATTAGTCAGAAAAATTTATTAATTCAATTCATTGAACTTTTCAATATTGACTTTGAAAAATTAATAAGTTCAATTCATTGTGCTTGGTGAGTGATATTTAATTAGTTTTTTTTAAAGAGACTACACTATAGAGTCAATAGAAAACTGGTTTTCGAGAAATTGACTTTAAAATTAGTATTGAACATTTCAGTAGCCGAGCCAATTTCGGTTCGGGTTGTCTACAACTTTTAAAATAATTAAATTGTCCGTTCTGTAATATTTTTTTTATTTGACATTTCTGTAATATTATTTAACTACTTTTTTTCATTTTGACATTTGTTTCAATATACGTTATTTAATTAAAATTTGGCCCACCCTCAACGCAAATGCTAGATCCGCCCCTGGTCGCTCCCACATGCAGGTCACGAAAATATCCAGTCCCTAAAATAAGTTTGTATAATATTCAATTCCATTAAATATTTAATTGTTAAAATAAACACTAAAGAACCCTGAAATGATTTCTTCAGCAGGGAAAGTTAACTTAACTCAAGTCTTAATTTCATCTCTAAATAAACTACGACAATATATATATAGTATATACTAGCACTTCTTAAATAATTAATAATTGCTTAAATACACACTCCTAAATTGTATGAAGTACGTAGTAATAAATTATTTCCTTCAAATTTGGGCTTATTTAGCTAATAACTTAAGCTCTTATTTACTCAATTATAAAAGAATCAAAATTTAAATGTAAAAACAAAGAGTTGAGCGCATGCCTTTGGTAGCTTGGTTTGTCCTCTCTGCTACACTTAGAGGTGACCGGGCTATGGATGCTAAAGAATAACATATTAACATGGTGAGGGTTAAAAATAAAAAAATTAATACTAGTCAATAAAAAATGAAAAGTTGGGAGGGGCCATAGCCCCCATAGCATTGAGCATAGCTCCGCGCCTGCCAACCACAACTTTTACTTTTCAACCACTTTATTAATAATCGTGTCAAGTCAAATAAGACACATAAAATGGAACAGATGTAGTATAAATTTTGCATCAGTTACTGAATATACTAACAGTATATAAACACCTTAAACAGTATATGATGTTACTAATATTATAAGTGAAAGTATTTATATAATATTTCATTTTTTTAATAAGCATCATATTCATATCAACATCCATGTAATTTAATATACGCAGTACATTTTATATTTCGTTAAAAATTGTTTGTTTTAAAATAATAATTCTAATTCTATGTTAACGGGGTATTCCAGGGTTGACTGACCAGGTCTAGGCTGACGCGCGACCCTGTTGTTTGACCGGGTCACTTCCTAGCCCGATTTTTGGAACCTAAATCCCAACCCTCACCCATGGAATCTCTTGACCCGCACCCCCATAGGCCATAGGGCCCCACCATCAGGCAGGAGAGGAAAAACACTCATGGTAAAAGTCTTCCAACAGTTTCCTCCGGATTATGCCACTCACATGTCACATACGAAGTATACTACGTATACAACAACTTCAGGAATGAGCACAAGAATAATAATTAACGCTTAAATTATTGGCAATCACCTTCCCTCAATAACATAAATTTTCAATTAGTTTATACCAAAATTACGTATTCACTCTGTCCAATCAGTTTATTTTTTCTCTACAATCCGACACCGTCAATATATTCACCTAACATAATTTTTTTTAGTTAAATCATTACTTTTATACTATGTATATGCTATATGGATCTCATATGAAAGATCATAAAAAAATATAAAATTTGATATGACTTTTATAAAAATTGGAATACAAATAAAAACGTTATACTACTTTTAAAAAATATTCATTTTTTATCATTAACTCTACCACATACTTTTTGTCCACCTGGCCACATGTTTCTTCTGTTTTTTCTCTCCCCTGGATTGAAAAGTGTGTTGGTAATTCCCCACTCAAGGCTGTCATAGACCCATTACCCTAGATTGCAAAACAACAAAAAGAAATCTGACAATCGTCATCCCGCGAACCACACTCGAAATTAATCAACTCCAGAGAAGCAATATAATTCGTTGATATTGGGGTGAATAGATCACACATATATATGCTTTTCACTCCTAGATTGCAAATGGTCTTAAGGCGAGGAGTATTTGTATGCCTTTGAATTAGCATCTTTCATTTTTCATTGGGATGGCAATGAGCAGGGTCGTCTAATCAATTTGGAAGCCCCGGTTCAAATGGTGAATTGAAGCCCTTAAAATAAGAAGAAATGTACTCCGTAACATTTAACATTGAAATACAAATAGACTAGATAGTTCAATGAAATATAAATTTTAGGAAAAATTGATAGTAATAATCCCAACTATTAGCGGTCCGCTTATAATAATCCCAACTATTGATTATTTTAGAATAATCCCAACTTTAGGGACCTTCCGCCAATAATGGTCCCTAAGAATAAATTCTTGTAGTTTCTAAAGTAGATGAGAAGAGATATAGCAAGTAATGCCTATATATAATCACAACTTTTAATTTTTACACTTAATTTCTATTTAAAATTAAATTTTTATAGGAGTTAAATCTAATCATGGACCATTATTAGCGGACGGTCCCTAAAGTTGGGATTATTCTGAAATAATCAATAGTTGAGATTATTATAAGCGGACCGCCAATAGTTGAGTTATTACTATCAATTTTTCCTAAATTTTATGATGTTTAAAGTACACAAATTAGAGAATTTAAAAGTGATATACCTTTTGGAATCTTGAATAATACCTAACATCTACAAAAAGGGATAAGGGTCAGTTTGGTCCTCGAAGTTGCAAAAAAGGGGTCAAATAAGTCCTTATATAGAAAATTCTGTCCGGACGTGCCATTTGAGGTGGCTCCCGGTGGAATTTTTTGATTAAATTTTTTGAGCATCTTATTCATTAAGTCTAGTTTACTCATACCAAATTTCAGATAAAAATTCAATCGGGAAGACATTCAAATGAATTTTTGAAGATAACTGTGCCGTTAAAAGCGCAGTTATCTTCAAGAATTCATTTGAATGTCTCCCCGATTGAATTTTTAGCTGAAATTTGGTATGAGTAAACTAGACTTAATGAATAAGATGCTCAAAAAAATTCATCAAAATATTCTACCGGGAGCCACCTCAAATGGCACGTCCGGACAGAATCTTCTATATAAGGACTTATTTGACCCCTTTTTTCAACCTATACCTAATACTAAATTCTGAATTTTTGGAGACCCCCGACAAGAGTAGGCTCCGGTGCCAATAAGCACTTATTGCACCTCCTAAAAGATGGTTCTGGCAATGAGGCAGGTTCACTCCTAATGCCTCGCCCCTTAAAAGGGTATTTTCTAAGACTGTGATTCATGCGTCTACATAACCAATTTAAGGGACTTTTTACCCCATTTCTAAGAAAGCAGGAAATAGTGCTACGTATCAGAGGGCTGAAACAAATTTCGGATTCTCTAATCCGGTTTTGAAACTTCATAATTTCATTGCTTTGTGTTAGAATTTCACACCGGAAAAGTTTGAATAAACAATGTGCTATATTAAGATTTGAGTTACTCCTCCTATTAGGTTAACCTTTTAGGATGGAACCCCAAGTCTTAACATGATATCAGAGCCAAATCGATCAATGGTGTGGGCCCTTTATGAAAAATGACGACACGATTATAAAAAAATTACAATGACGAACCGACGAAAAAATGAATGACGACACGATCCAGACAAAGTGTTCGGTCGTGAGGAGGGGTGTTAGAATCGCACACCGGAAAAGTTTGAATAAACAATGTGCTCTATTAAGATTTGGGTTACTTCTCCTATCAGGTTAATCTTTTAGGATGGAACCCCAAGTCTTAACACTTTGGGATTTAATGAATCCCACTTTATCACTGCTACTTCAAAATGGGTTGAGAGGGATATATGAATTACAGTGGCATCAATGCATCGCGGAGAGTTACGAAATAATAATCCCATATTCAAGTTTGATTTTCAATTTAAAATCGGTTAACAACTCCCAATATGGCCTGCGAGCAGCGGTCGTCTCCTTTCTTTTAGGGTTTTCTTCTCCCGCAGCCTTTGTCGTCGCTGGGGGATGGTGCGGGTTTGTTTGATTTTATGGTGTGCCTTGGGGCTGATTCTGCGGGGCTCTATGATTGATTGTCCTCTTCTTTTGAGGTTGTGGCTTGAATCGTTGATTCGACGATTCCAACTGTGTTTGTGTTCGAGCCGGCGATGTTGGATGCGTTGATGGATGCAGTTGCTGTGCGGAATGACGGGGGATGGGTGGTTGATATCGCCCTCTGTTTTGATGGTTTTCAAATAGGATGGGCGGTGTTTGAGGAGGTTCAATTGAGGCAAGGTTCAAGCTCTCAAGATTTGGGCGTCCTAGGTTACCGGCTTCTTAAGATGGAGTGCCGAAGTTGGGATTCTTATCGGGTATCTTATTATAGGAGGCGGCGGCTCTATCATATGGGGGGCAAAAAGGATATATTGGAAATTGTGGTAGCGAATCGGCTGGAGATCTTTGAAGATGCAGTGTTGAAGATGAAGGAGAAGGATGAAATGTCGACGGTCCGTCCCCCTCCGGAACCACTGCCGAAAACGATTGGCGGACCGGTGAAGGTGTTCGTGCGAATGGAGAGGAACATTTATTTCAATGCTTTTATTTTTGTTGTTTTATTTAATCAAACTATTTTCTGCTTTGTCGCTTTTATTTTTAATTGTAAGACTCCTGCATTAAGTTGGGCTGAGTTTTGATATATTTCAATCGTCTGTGGCTCAGGTTTGCCCATTAATGGATCAGCGGGTTATGCCCAAAATTTTCAATTTCTGCCCAAACTAAAACTTCAAGCGCTTTCTTCCTAGCCAAAAGTTAGGGCGCAAAGTGAATTAACTGCCTCCTAAAATTGAGTGCATGTCTCATAAAAAATTAAGTGCATGTCACATAAAAAATCTTGGTAAATTAAGATCATGGATGAGGAGAAATTGACGATAGGTTTGGAGATTATTTGAGATAATCTTATGTGGAAGTGACATGACAATAAGAAGCCATAAAAAACTATAAACTTGAGTATCATGAATGGATATGCTCTAAAGAATGAAGTGTAGGAGGTGTCTGTGTATTTTCCCAGACAACTGTTTTATTTATTTAATTATCTCAAAACTACGTCATTTTGGGCGAGTCTACTTTTTTTCCCAACCTAAAACCGTAGAACTGTGTCTCTTTGGCTCTTCTAACTCGTCTAGTGGAGTTCCGACTCGCTGCAGAGCTTCAAACGACCACACCTCGAGATTGCCAGTCAGTGGTGTGTTTCGGCAGCTTTCAGCAGAGTTTTGGCGGGTTCCACTTCGCCACTACACCTGCACCGGCTGCACGGCTGGCCGGCTGCGCCACGGCCAGTTCAAGTGCTCCACTTCTCCATGTTTTTCTGACTTTGGAAATCTTTAGCTATGCTCCTCTTACTTCGTCCATCCTGCGCATCCGTCGATTTTAAGTTTAAATATTTCAACTTTTGTGATTAAATATTAAAATTTGTTTTAATGTTAAGACTAAACTATTAAATTTATGATATTTATGAATTTTATTTCAATACTACTTCACAATTTAGGATGAACTGATATTTCAATATTTATAAAACGTTATAATTTTTTAGTATTTTACTTAGAATTTTTAAGAATTTTATATTAATTAAAATTACACTAAAACCCCCATGATTCTATTTTTCCGAAACCGTCACCGGAAGGGGTAAAGGAACTTTTTAGAGAGGAAAATATTAATTTACGGAACTTTTGTGTTATCATTTCCAAAATACGGGAGTTCCTTTAAAAATACCCTATTATTCTTAGAGCTCGTTTGGTAACACGAAAATCGGCTGATTCGGCTTATTCTATTGAAATTTATGAACTTCTGGCTGAAGTGGCTGCATTGGCTGATTCTGCTGATTTAAGAAAAAATATTTTAAAAATATATTTTATTAATAAAATAAAGAAAAAATTATATGAAAAAATAGCTAAAATGATCATCTATAGTAACTTCGGTCAATACACCCAGAAAAGTAACTTCAACCTTATTTTTTCTTATTATTACACGTACAATTCAGGGCGCGAAAACAAAAGTTACGTGTTTGGTGGGAAATAGTTTTACCAAATGGGCTCTTATTAATTTTATCTTCTATTTCCTACTTCTTCTATATATATATATATATATATATATATATATATATATATATATATATATATATATATATATATATATATATATATATATATATATATTGGTCCAAATGAGAACATCTCTTAACGTAAGAAGTGAGAACAAATCTCAACCATCCAAAATACATGTCCATATGCGATCAAGTAAAGGGTATAGAGGGTAGTTATGTCTTATACTTGTTGGCAATTTAAGTAACCGATCATTTAATTAATACGTTTTGGTGGTTTAGTAATGGAAAAACATTAAATGGTATGATATGTCTAACGTGGGTTGACTTGTTCCTACATAGAAATTTTTGCAAGTTACAAAGGAAATATCGTTAGTGGGCAATACCATTCTTTTTATTTAATTTTTAGAAGGAATATTCTTATGCAATATCTCTCTTCTTAATTATTATTCACCATATCTTAGTTATATTTTTCAATACGTATTTTCGTTTTTTATGTTATATACAAAATGTGAGATAATTACTGCTTCATGTGCATTACAGACCAACATATATGTATACAATAAATAAATACAAACATCTTTTTCTACCTCACAAGAACTTGTATTTAACGCACAATAAATATATGTATTGATTCTTGTGTGTTATATACTAATTTTAGTTTTAAAAGGCTCTTACGGGTTAAAATATTACTTAGTTCTTACTTGTTGTGCATTGATTGTTGGGTTTTGTGCTTAAGATACACATTCTAATGCTTTGTTATACATATTGTGTGTTGGGCACTTGTACTTATGCGTTAGATATTTGTGCTTGTGTATTAGATACATGTTCTTGTGCGCAGCAGCTGAAGATGCTTGTTGTGGTTCATAGTATACATATTACGATAGTATAATTTTTTTAAAAAAATTATATATGCATTATTGGTCTCATATGAAAGATCATAAAAAATTATTTAATTTGATATAATTTTTGCTAAAATTATATTATAATTTCAAAAGTTAAATCAATTTTAATCTAAAAAACATTTTGTATAATTTGAATTTTTATTTCTACCTACATTTTAGGTAAGTGGAATCCTCCCATCCGTAGCACATTAAAGATTTTTTTTAAAATTACTATAGTGCCCTTCATGAAAACCTACGTATAGATTAGTGTTCAAGAGTAATTTTAAAATGTTTGCACTCCCACTATACATCCATGCATCTCATCCTTTAATAGCCTTTAATTTATTAAGATGTAAGGTTAAGATTTGTTCTTATTTCTCATACACACACACACACACATGGAGCGAATCAGGTGAGAATTGCTCTTAGGCTGACAACTGTGAAGTTAAATTTATAGACTAAATATAGAACTTTTAACCAATAAATCATAACTTATAGACCTCTCAAAAATATTTACGAAATTGCCACCGCAACAAAATAATTACGGAAACCTGGAATTTTTTTTACACGGTGGCATTTTGGTAATTATTATGGAGAGCTTTATAAGTTGACTTCATAATGTATGACATAGAGTGTTGAGCAGTGAAACAATGTCACACTCAAAAGATGAGTGTGGCAAAGATGCATATGTTACGTTTGATGTGTGGACATACCATAAAACACCGCTTGAGAAATGAAATAATCAGGAAAAAATGGAAATAACACATATAGAAGATAAAGAGTCTCGATTGCGGTTATCTGTGTAGAAAACCGAATGATGCACCTGACAGAGGAGTTGAGAACTAAGGAGTACAGACAGGTAGGAGGGGATGAGAAAGACCCAAACAGACTTGGATTTTAGGAATCGGAACTGATATACTTCTCTCTGGGTTGGATGGAAGTATGACCAAGGCCGGCCATGGGGCAGGATGCCTTGACTGCTAGACAAGTGCCTAGGGCCCCCAAGTTTCACGGGCCTCCACATTTTAAATCAAGCCCACTACTATTATATATGTATATTTATATATTTAATTCAAATTGTAAATTTGTAATTAAAGATCAAATTATCAATTCTCAAATCTATAAACACCTGCACACGGACGATTACGACACCACAACTAGCTCAGAGGCGGCTGAGTGTCAAACCACCAACGAAGCCGTAAACGCCGAGCAGGCTTCAATTTAAGGTCTTCAGGCGGTTTGCGAATAGAGTGAGAGACTTCCGTCTTCAATTCTTTAGCTCCTTCGCAGTTCGCAAATCTTTGTAGCAATTTACAGGCCGTAGACACGGATAATTGAGGCTAAGACCTAAAGGTAAAGGTGTTCTAACTCTTCTGACAACTTACAACTTGGTAGATTTATTTAGGGGTTTTTTACCTAAATATTACTCCGTACTAAAATACAGACAATTTTCAAAAATGTGACCAAATTAACATTAGGGCAAAAATGTGACTAAGAAGATCATATTCATGTCATTAATGTGACAAATCAACTTTTTATAATGCTTACTAGCCTAACTTTGTCTCGTTTTATCTTTTTCGTTCGTCCCATTAAGTTTGTCTCATACTCCCTCCGTCCCGGGGAGAAGTTCCCGGGTTGACTTTCACACATTTTTAGGAAATAAAGTTATTGAGGAGTAAATTTTACTGTTTTGCACTGTTTCGACACTGTTTGGCACTGTTTCGACACTGTTTGACACTGTTTTGCACTGTTTGGCACTGTTTTAATGTAGGATAACTTTCAATTTAGGGAAATGGGAAGTTTCTTTTGGGACATCCAAATAAGGAAATTGGGAACTTCTCCCCGGGACGGAGGGAGTACTATATTTGGTAATATTTGAGTGATTATAATTCTTTCGGCCAAATCATGATCAATCAATCACCATTTACCCCAGTGCCGCAAAGGCTCCCACCTACGAATTCGGCCAAATCATCAGATTGATAAAAAAACGTTATACCAAATTGGTAAAAGAAAAATCTTTTGAGACAAATTGGTTTAAAAAAAAGCCCGAGTGACAGATTGGTCAATTTTTTGTGAGCGTGACATTTTGCACATATCCTGAAAAAGTATTGTGAAATTGACATTTACAGTCATTCAACTTTGATTTTATCATGAAAAAAGTACATGACTAAAAAATCTACTGCATTTAAAAATTTTATTCAAAAAATCTACCCCATATGCAAATTCTATTTTATATGGAATATTTTTGTTATTTCATATGCTATAGAATTTTAGAAATTTTCCTAAATAGGAGTAAAAACGTTTTGAAATTTCAAAATCGGACTTTCATGTTTTATTCCCTAAATAGGAGTAATTCTGCCAACTTTGAAAAAAATGTCATGTTTAAAGCCTAGTAATATGCCAAACTTGACAGAAATTTACTCCTATATTATAAAATAGGAAAAATATTCTATACTATCGTATAAAATAAAATTGTCATTGGAGTAGAATTCTACTCATATAAAATATTCACACTTTATTAATTCAATACTAACCACACAATTCTACATTTTCTTAAAAACCACACCACAATCCTTTGTCCCAAACTTAGGAAGAGGAAGGTAGTAATACTTAATTAAATATAATTACAGTTAAAATTATGCATTGACAAACGTGAAAAAAAGTGCAAGGCTGAGGTATGTAATCGAGATAATGGAGCATCAAGTGTAGCAACATGAATAGAGAGCACATAGAATTTAGAATGTATCTCTTTTACGAGTGGTCTTTATGTCAGGTCGGCCTGACGGGCACCGTCCGACGGAGCCCATTTGGGGGTCTTTCTGGTGGAATTTTTAGATGATGAACATGTTGTTCATCAAGTCTAAGTTACTCATACCAAATTTCAGCTAAAAATTCAAACATGAAGGCAGTCAAATGATTTTCTGAAAAATATTGCGCCATTTATATATATATATTAACTGCGCAGTGCTCTTAAATAATTTATTTGACTGCCTTCCCGATTGAATTTTTAGCTTAAATTTGATATGAGTAAACTAGACTTGATAAAGAACATGCTTAAAATATTTCATCGATAAAATCCACCGGGAAAGCCCTCAAATGTGCTCGTCCAGATTGCTTCCCCGGCCAGGCTGACCTGACATGAAGTTTCCTCTCACTTTTACTCCTTGTTTATTTGTTGTTAGTTGCTATGATTTTAATTTTTACGCGACCTATTTACGTTGACCATATTATACATTCTAGAGTGCTAAGACAATTTGATCAAATTAAAAATTCAATTCTAATGCCTTTTCTCATAGGTACTTAAATAATGGAGTGTTAATGATCAAATTTGTTTATTAAACAGAAAATTGAAAAAAGAAAAGTGTTAAAACTAAGCTAAATAGGAAGCTAGGGGAGAGAAAAATTGAAGGCCAAATAGAAAGAGCCTATTTGATACATCCAAATAGTCTGAATCGGCTGATTCTACTGAAATTTATGAAGTTCTGACTGAAGTGGCTGGATTGACCGATTCTTTTGGTTTATAAAAAAAATTATACTTGCATTTAAATTATATTTAAAATATATTTTATTAAAAATAAATCAAAGATATATGAAAAATAGTTAAAATGGTCCTCTATAGTAATAGTCAATAAAATAAAATAAAAAAGTAATTTCAACCTTAATGTTTCTTATTATTACACAATTTAGCGTGTGAAATCAAAAGTTACATTTTTTATGAAAGAATTAGCTTATGAACCTGATAAACTGAAAAATAGGATCACCAACCGACTAAAAGTGTCTGTATAACCATTTTTCAAAGGAAAATTGAAAATAATAATCCCAACTAGTGCCGGTCCACAATAATCCCAACTATTGATTATTTTTATATAATTCCAACTATATGGACCGTCCGCTAATAATAGTCCATGACCAGATATTACCTCTTATAACAAGTGAATTTTAAATAGAAATTAAGGGTAAAAATTAAGAGTTGAGATTATTTATAGGGATTACTTGTTATATCTCTTTTTATCCACTTTAGAAACTACAAGAATTTATTTATAGGGGCCATTATTGGCGGAAGGTCACGTTTGGATTATTTTGAAATAATTACTAGTTGGGATTATTATGAGCGGATCGCGAATAGTTGAGATTATTGCTATCAATTTTTCCTTTTTCAAAAAACAAAAAAGTGTCTATATAACCCCCACAAGTTCACATTTCACAACATTCATACATATCACAGACTCAAATTAAGTGGTACGTTCGTAGTACTACTATATACCGAGTATTTATTTATTCAGATCAGGTAGCTATTTGAATATTTGATCCACCAATTCCTATGCCGGCCTCTTTGTTTATTAACCATTTTCTCATTTCCTTCTTCCTCCTCACCATCCTTGACAATAGTCATGCTTTCAGGAGTAGCTTTTTCTTCAACAACCATGTGGTGTGGTCAAGTAACGTTAAAAACTCGCCGCCACCGCCTGGCCTCCCCGGCGCAACTGGAGTAATGAATGGGCATGCCACCTTTGGTCATCAAGAAGAGGTCCTCGCCGCAGCAGTCGGAGAAGACCACCATGATGAGAAGAAGGAAGACGTCGTCCGAGTAAGCAATTGGTATTATCAGCGGAAGCAGCTGCTGGAGAAGAAATTGCCAGCAAGCATTACCGGGGATCGCAAACACAACTCATCCCCGCCCTCACCCATCGCAGCACCTAACAGGCACGATCCGATCAAGCCGCCCAGCGGCTCCCATAAGATGATTGAAGATGAGGGCAAAACTCTTCAGGTGGAGGAGCTGGCTACCAATCCATAGAGTTTTACGTACGAGAAGCGTAACTCACCTGATAGGAAAAGAGTGTCACATGAGAGAAATCCAGATTCAACTAGCTCCAAAAAATGACTTGGATCGAGCTCACTCCCTTTCCATCAAAGCGTAATTAAAGGCTTAAAACTTCATTTACATTGTTTTAAATAATTTTCTAGTCGGTCAGTGGGGGATGGTATTTGTTAAGACTATTCATGTGAACACCCAAAAGTTTGAAAATAAAATGTGAAAATAACATAATAATTTATATATTGTATTTTTTATGTAATACTTTTTACATTTAACCTTTTCTTTAATTGTTGGATTAAAGAATATAATATTATTTTACAACTTCTTAATAGTAATAATGTAATATTAAGCACCCACCGTTTGGTAGCAAGATCCGTCACTACTCACTAGTTACTACATTCTGTTATGGGGATTCAAATATGGGTGTCATGCATCCTTGAGTGCCTATTTCATACATCTGGGTGTATGTACACCCGGCCCAATTAAGAAAGACGGCCCAATAACTAATATGGAGTACAACTCAATTTTTTCGGTCGTAATTTTGTAATTTAAGTGAAAAATCACGGTTTCCGCTAAATGAGAAATAATGTACTTTTAGTGAACATCTGACCTATTTTATTGAGTATTAAGAGGCTAACAATTAGTATCACGATCTCTATTTCATATCTTCTAATTCTTTTTCTTATATTTTCTTTTATAAATACTTATTAAATTATATCTATACTCCACTCTTATTAATTTCAATATGCGAGTCTAATGTAATATGATACTTTTGAAATATGCTTTGATATGACATTTTGAAAATGAACATAACATCAATATTAACTAAGAATACATAACTTACAAGGTGCACATTGATATGAAAATCGTAAGATTTGTTAGTTGAATATCACGACATTTTAATTGAGCATCAAACTTCCGCTATTGAGATGAAAATCACGGTTTCTGGTGAATGAGCATTATGAAGTTTTAATTCATGAGCATTGTTGAGTATTAGGAGTCTAATGTAAAATAGTACTTTTAAAATGCATTGATATGACATTTAGAAAATGAGAATAAGATCAGTACGAGATGAGCATACGTAACTTACAAAAAGAGCATTAATGAATTTGTTAGTTGAAAATCACGACATTTTCATTGAGCATCAAGCCTTCTCTATTGAGATCGGTGGAAATCGCAATTTCTGTTAAATGTGCATTAATGAATTTTTAATGAGCATCAGACTTATAGAAATGAGCATATGTAACTTACAAGATGAGCATCGATACACAAATTGTAAGTTTTATTCGCTAAGCATCAAGACATTTTCAGTGAGCATCAAACCTCCGTTATTGAGTATTAGAATCGTGTGATTGAGTATCATGATTTGTGGTCTCGTATCTATAATCAACTTCTATGTGAATCTAAAGTAATATGATACTTAAGAAATATGCATTGTTATAAAATTTTAAAATGAGCATATATAACAACGGTACTGAATGAGCATACATAACGTACAAAATGAGTATCTAAAAGTACAAAAAAATGTATATGTTCTTTCATTGCAGGCGTATACTCATTTGAATTTAATATAGAATTCATTTAAGATCAATAACAACAAATTCAGAAACTAATAGGATGATGACCTTGCAGTCTCTCTTTGAAGAGTCATACCAAAATCCTGTAGGTAAGCATCCAACAGAATCAGTCTAACATTCAAGCTCAAGCACTTTTGTACATTGTCTAATGTCTAGTGGATGAATTCCACAGAAAATATGGTATTGCAACGACATAAGTACAAACTAACTCGTTCCAAGAAAAAAGTGCTCTGTAAGTTCCTTTAAGAAAGAGTGAATGCTTTGTTAAATGGTAAAGAATTTCACACTCAAGGTTCTGGCCAACGGTACTAACGCAAAGGCTCCTCATGTTGCAATACGCCTGAACCTAATCACCTGCAATGGTTTCCCCTGTAACTCGAACGGCGGCGGCAGATTTCACGAAGAAGACGATCGGCAAAAAAAGTGGCTTGTTATCCTACACACGTATCAAAGTCCTGCGGATGAGAGTGTTACTAAACTTAAAGATCATTCTTATTACAAAAAATACCGGGTGTACATGTATGATGAGGGTGCAGGATATAATATGAGGTCATCCTTGCTTTCCTTTTTTGGATGAAATGTAAATTATACTATCGTATTAACACCCAAGAAAATAACAAATACATGTGTCCAAGAGGAGGAGGAGAAGGAGAAAGGATTTTGCCATCTAATCTAAGTCACGACCCATACAATGGTACCATTTAATGGTACCAATGGTGTTGCAAGGTGCACGCACAAAGCACATATAATTCTATACAAATTAGCCCGTGGCATACCAAAAAAGTGCTTTGATTCCACTTGTGTTAAAAGTATATCATCTCATGTGGTAGATACTAAAGAGTATCTTATATACCACATGTTTAATCTTTACCACAACTTCTTCTTCGGATTTGTTTGCTTCTTCAAATAATCTACATGCATTTCTAGCCCGCCAAGTCCAATAAATAGTAGCACAAAAGCTAGCCGGACTGCCTTAGCCTTCATGGTTGCTCCTTTATGTTTCTTTAGAATCCATTTATCCGCACCAGGGAGGGTCGTCATTTGATGCTTAAGTCCAATCCAAATCCTAATGGTTGTCCATACCCTAGCTACAAATGGACATAGGAAAAATAGGTGTGGAGTAGATTTCAATTCACCCTCAGTGGCGGACTTACATTATAATCAGGGTGTGCCTAGGCTACACCTCAAAGCCTTTTATTAGCCCAACTGGTAATGGCGTTCCCTCTAAAATTGTGCAATGCTTCAGTTTGTCTGTTCGTGACATTAGGAGTGCACTCGATGCAGATTTTTTATTACTACGTACTCCGTATTAAATTACAGCGTATCAAATTCCTTTTATAGGCCAGCATTTCAACCAGTCATTGTAGACCCAGTCACTCAAATTGTAAACCCGAACAATCACCCTTACAAAGATCACATCTATTAACAAATATGCAAGTAACCGAGGTGGGATATAGGACTTCCAAATGAAGCTCATTCAGGTCTAGTGATGGCAACGGGGCGGGTCGGGGACGGGTACACATAAAACCGGAACCGCCCCTTTGGATAAATGTTTGCCCCAAAACCGCCCCATTACCTATTCGGGTAATTTTTATTTGAACCATACCCGCCCCAACGGGGAATCGGTTTATCCACGGGTAACCGTTTCCCCAAATGATACCAAAATAACCAACTTTTTTTGGGAAAACAAATAACCAATTTTTAATCCTACTTGTTATTTATATATTCAAATCACCCTAAAACATACAAAAATAAACATTTAAGCAATCAAGCATACTGACCTAAATTCATTAGTATGACATGCACCCAATATCTCTTGTAACTTAATAAAAAAGTAGTAATCATCCCAGAATCCAAATTTCAAAAATAGATTTAGGCCTATATTTAGTTTTAGGCCTAAAAAAGTAGTATACTTTTTAGCATTATTTATATGATATATACTATTTATTATACACAATTTAGCATATATAGTTATTATTCTTATATATAAAAAGTTATAATTTATTAATAATGTTATCGATCGGGTAACGGTGCGGGTACCCGCACCACTAGTGAACGGGGCGGTTTCGGGGCGGATAACAGGGTGGATTAGTATAGAACCATAACCGCACCATTAACCATTTAAAAAATTCGGGTATTCCCCGCCCCGTACCCATTCCCTAGTCAAACCGGTTTTCCCCAGTTTGACCAAATCGGTTCGGTGCGGGTATCCAACGGGTCGGTCGAAATTGCCATCTCTATTCAGGTCCTAATAATCCCCTTTATCCCTAATAAGTCATAAACATTAGAAGATACAAGTTTCCCTTTAACACACTTACACACCTACTATTTAACCCGATCATGGTCTCATTGCGGTTATTAAATTTATTACAAATTTTAGTTCGGATGAGGCACAATTTCATCCTTGTTTTCCTTTTTCTAGAGTACGTACATAGCTTCGACCAGTCAATCAGGACAACGCCGCTTAATTATACTTTAGAAATTGCTTCAATAGGAGAAAAAACGTTTTAAAATTTCAAATTAAGACTTTCATATTTTTTATTCTCTAAATAGGAGTAATTTCTGCCAAGTTTGGAAAAAACTTGGCAGAAATTGCCATGTTTAAAGCTTGATAATGCCAAACTTGGTAGAAATTACTCCTATTTAGGGAATAAAAACATGACAATTCTATTTTGGAATATCAAAACCTATTTATTCCTATTTAGAGAATTTTCCCAATATTCCGTAATATGTAGTGTACTGCTTATCTTTCGCCTTTTTCCTATTCCCTTAAATTCAGAGAGGATCATAGAGAATACTCTCTCTGTCCCGCTATGATTGTCCCATTTTACATTTTCGGTCCGTCCCACTAAGATTGTCTCATACCTTATTTGGTAAAATTTGTGTGGTTCTAAATTATTCTTACTTTATTCTTACTTTATCAATTCAATATCAACCACATAAATCCACTTTTATTAATAATCATGTCAACTTCTCTTGTCCCAAACTTAGGGGACAGAGATAGTAGGAGATACTACATATCTAGTTTAAATTCTTACTCGAAGTGAGTGATTTCTTCATGAAATTAATTAGTCACAATCTAAAATAATTTCAAACTTGAAACTCTTTAATTATCAACAATGATTCTCAATGCACATCTCATCAATCATTTCATTTTCATTTACTTCAGTGCCGCAAAGGCTCCCACCTATGGTGGGGTAGGGGGGTGCGGATGTACGTACTCTTACCTTGTACTAAAGCACATAGAGACTGTTTCTGGATGACCCATAGTGAAAATCGCGTCCAAAATTGCATGGACTGATTGTTGCTTCATAACAAATAAGCGCATACAGTTTAGTGAGTCATTTTGTTTTATTCCATCATATTTTCTAACCAATAAATAATGAATCTTTGACTCCATTGCAAATTGTGGAAATTACACACACATTAACAAACTAAATCAAGTAATATTTGTTTCCTAAAATAAAATCTACATAATCTTTCAAATAATTACTTTCTTTTAAGGACAAAATATAAATCTTCGTTAGTTACTAAGGATGTTTTTACTTGGACTGTAATTTGCCCCAGACCAGACCAGTCCAGACCAGACCAGTTCAGACCAGACCAGACCAGACCAGACTTGGATAGTTATAAAAATACAAAGAAACCAGACCTTACCAG